AAATATTTATGTGTTTTCCAATGGTCTTAGGCAACCCCTGTGAAAGGGTCATTCAACCCCCAAAAGGGTCGTGACCCACAGGTTGAGAACCACTGGTCTAAAGCATGGCAGGAGTGGACACTCTGACGACAGTGGCTAGTAGAACAGATTCCTGGCTCTACCCCTAACAATATGGCCTGGGAAAAGTCACTTAACCTCTCTGTGTCTCAGTTTCCTCACCTGTAAAACAGCGAGAAGAATAGTAACTTTACAGTAAGATTTCTACAAGGATTATATGAATAGATGTAACCGTGTTGTTTAAAATAGAACCCGAAATACAGCCATTGCAAAAAAAAAAAAGAAATTAGCAATTAGTTTATTCTTTCTGTTACCTCAGCACCCACTTTGTTCTCTATTTGTATTTATGTGTACATTAACCAATGGGCCCTGGTGGAACAATGGTGAATTACTGGGCTACGAACCAAAAAGGTTGGTGGTTCGAACCCCCACCCCCAACCCCCCCAGCAACTCTCAGGGACAAGAAAGGCCTGGTGATCTGCTTCTGCAAGAGGACAGTGAAGAAAACCCTGTAGGGCACCCTAGGGACCCACTGGAGATTGGCATCAACTTGACGGCAGCCAATAACAACAATAATATACAGGGACTTGTGCTCAACTTCCTTAGGAGACCAGGAGCTCTCTGAAGATGAAGATTATGCCACATTTTGCTTTGTGTCCTCAATAGTTAGTCGAGTTTAGTGCAGGAATGGAGGGTGGGCTAGAGGAAGGAAGAGTGAAAGCCGACAAATCAAACAGCCATATTTTGAGGGAGACACATGACCCCATCTCGCACCAGAAAGGCATCTCGTTTGTATCCGTTGGTCTTCACTCATTCACTATTGTAGGGATGATGCTGGAATCCCCAAGGGCATTCCCGAGCTCAACCTCCACCATTCTCTGGACACAGCTGTACGCTTGTCATCTCCAGGTCTTGGTTTGAGCTGCTTGGCCTCCTGAAGTATCTCATCTCAGACATCTGTGTCTATGCATCTGATCAATCTTTCAAGACCCAATCTAGCAACTCCTTCCCCAGCAATCTTTCCCCAATTTTTCAGTAAAGGGTAACCTCCACTCCTGAGAATTCCCTGTCCCTCTCTCATGCTAGTTCCTTGCATTTTGCCTGTGTCCACAGCTCATTTCTCAATGTGTGCTCTTCTGGGACAGGGCTGTATCTGGCCCTGTGTCCTGTGCCCAGCCCAGGGCCTGGTTGGAGGACCTTCAGTGAGCAGTTGTTGAACTGTACTGCATCTAGTACATTCTTGTCAGAAGAAAGGACAGTAGCTCAGTGTGGTAGTTACATAATATGGTGTCAAATTGTGAAGGGATAGAGTCTAGCCTGTCGATCAGGTTGCAGCTTGGTGACCTCATTTGGAGGCGCCACCGAGATAAATAACTCACTGGAGGCCAGAAACACTCACTCCCGGCGAAACATTACTGACCACGAGCCTGATGGAGCTACGCTGATCCAGCCAGTGCCCTGGAGCTGGAGGAGCCATGAGCAGACCCACACTCGTGCTGAGATGCTTTTACCGCCACTGGATCCACAAGACTTTCCACCCACTGGCCTGTGATCTTCCTGCATTTGGCGTCATTGCATATGTTTCGTGAGTCTGGAGAGGAATGTATAGATTGGTATCGGACATATGGGCTGATGTCGGACTTATGTACTTGATCTGGACTGGACTGGGATGTTTTTTCAATAGTCAATTGCTCTTGTATATAAAGCTTTTTCTTATCCACATAGGAGTGTCTATGAGTTTGCTTCTCTAGTCTACCCGAACTAACACACTCTCCTTTGCGTTTTCGCCGCAGTGACCTACCTCTGACAATGCTCAGTTTGTGAGGTGAGAGGGGTGGCTTCGGGACTGCATCCTTCTTTTTTTTGGTGGCAACTCCTGTGACGCTTCTGTTCTTCAGAACATCTGTTCCCCAAATCATGACGGCCAGGTTCTTCGTGTACTTGGAATCCCCTTGGGTTACTTGTAGCTGGTGCCATTTCTCTTCATCAACCCAAATCCCGCTTCCCAGATGGACCTGAAAGGGATAAAGGCACCAGCACCCGGTGAGTCTGACAGGTGGAGACACCACTGGTCCTTTAAAAAAAGACACTGTCATACAACTGCAACTCATCCAAGCTCTAAATCTGAACTCGGCTCTCCTTAAGCATGTCAAAATAGCATCACATACTAAAAGGCGGTTAGTTATTCCCGTGTTTTAGAATCACCATCGCAAATATACATGGCAACCCTGGCAGAAAGGTCCTATGGCCTTCCTTTAATTTCAGATGGGAAATCACGCTCAGAAAGGTCACGTGACTTGCTGAAAGTCACGGAAGTACTACGTGGCAGAGCTGGGACTCCTACCTTTACTCCTTTTTATCACAGGGCTGCGCACAGACTGATCAGATCGTAGGCACACACATGCTTAACCCCTTTGCCTGTTACTGTAGAAAGGCCTGTCGCCGCTTCCTGGGAACATTCTGGGGCACACATCTTGCTAAGGGCGGTGTTTCTCAACCTTGGCTGCAGACTAGGGTCACTAGGGTATATTTTCAAGGCTCTGAGGCCAAGGCTCCCCGACCCCAGAAGCCCTGGTCCACTTGATCTGGTTGTGGATGAGGGATCCGCACTGCTTGAAGCTCTCTGGGTAGTTGCGGCGTATAGAAGAGTTAAGCGTGAGAAGCACCTCACCAATGGGGTGAGGAGTGCGGCCGACCAAGCTCTGCCCCTAATGGGCCTTTGGTTGTGTAAGCTCTTTCCCATTTGAGTTTCCGTTTCCCTGTCTGTGAGCAGAGAGAGTTGGGTTTTATTTATAAGTTCCATCTGGTGCGGAACACCTGGACTTTAAAAAAATAAAAATGAATTAAATAAACCGGACCATAGTGTACCTAGTCGGACTCCGATGGCACTCAGAACAGAACACAAAATTATGCTCCCTCTCAGGGCAGTGCTGGGCAAGTTGCAGTACAGCGTTGATACATTCCTAAGACCTAGCACGGTCTAGCAATGAGCTGCAGAATAAAAACAAATAATTCCTGTCTGGTTCTTTGAACGACTCAGAAACCATTTGCTGACATTCACCATTTGTGAAGAACAAAACGAAAACAAAAGTTTTGACTTTGACCTTGTCATTTCTGCTGTGTTTGGTTTAGTCTACGTAGGACAGAAATGACCTGTGTGGGGCAGAGGGGAAGCAGCCGGGGGACGTGGAAAGGGTTCACCACAGGTGGTGATCTTCAGGAAGACCTGCAGGTTGGCCTCAGGGTCAGGAAATGCGTCTCGGGAGAGGCTTCTCGGAGAGACTGGGCACGCTCAGACGGATGGCAGACTGGCACGACTGTTCAGAAAAGATCTTTCTGCTGAATCTCAGCTTGAGGAGGAAAGTGGGCAAATGCTGACAGGCAGCATTTTAACCAATTACTGAAGTTTTGCAAACAATCAAAAGTAGAAGAGGGGAAAAAAACCCAGCCTGCCCTCAAATGCCTCTAAGTAAGAGATCCACCTGTCATGCCAGACTTCACTTGCTTTTGCACGAAAGATCACTCAGACTGGTGCAGGCCATCAGATAACCAGATCCACCTGACCTCTCCAGGCGCGAACTTCAGGACCGCAAATGTGTTTGTGCAGCTCAGGAGAGATAAGCAGCCCCGGGGTGAGATGTGCTGCCAGCATCTGGCCGGGCAACACCAAGCCAAGGTCAAGTCTGGCCTTTTGCTCTGCAGACTGAGCTGTGGGGGGCAATCTGTGTGCTGGACTGGGCGTGCTGAGTTCCCTGCTGCTCCTAGCAGACCCTGCTTTCTCTGCCTTGGTGCTACTCTGGGACCACCCACACGGGCTTCAGATGAAATCCCGACTCAGAAGATTACAGATGGAAGAAGACAACTTAAAATCTTTTTCGAAGATCTCTGTACCCTTCTACTTCAGCCTTGCTTCTCTATAATCTTTTGATTTATTATTCTTAGAAGCGAGATGAACGTTCTTTTATCCATTGCTCCACCAGAGGAAGGGGTTAATAATATTTTTGAGCACTTATAATGAGCCAAGTATTGTACACTGAATATTTTTTAAAGTCCTTCTCATGAATTTAAGGAGCCCTGGTGGTGTAGTGGTTATGTGTCGGGCTGTGACCTGCATGGTCAGCAGTTTGAAACCATCAGCTGCTCTTTGGGAGAAAGACTGGGCTTTCTACTCCCTTAGAGAGTTACAGTCTCAGAAACCCACAACGGAGTCGTATGAGTTGGCAGGAAAGAGAGAGAGAGAGAGATTGTGAGCCTAAGAGATGAAAATAGGTAGAAGTTAGTATTCCCAATTTACAGATATGGACAGAGACCGAGAGGGAATCAATGGCTTCTCCTCAGACAGAACACTCAGGAAAGTTGGGGATCAAGACTCAGATCCAAATCTGGCTGGCTCTGAAGACTACATTCTCCACCAGTGCCTCCGTTGTGCTGATGTGGCTGACACACAAGATGATGTGATCAGACACATGGGTGTTCAGGTAGATTTCCTTGTGAATTTTCCCCTTTACCAGCCTGGCCACTCACCACCAGGACAGAAAACCAGGGAAAAGGCCACGGGCTGGCCTCTCTGCCTCCAGTTCTGCCCCCACCACCGTGCTTCAGAAACACTGCCACACAAATTTTCCTAACCCATCGCTTACCTAGCCTGTAGTTCCTCTCCACTCTGTGGTTTGTGTCAACCCTCTGGAACCTTGAATTAGCTCCCTGTTTCCTATTACATTAAATCCAATGTCCCCAGCCTGGCTTTAAAGACCATTTAGAATCCAGGCTGCTAACCCTGGCTTCCCTCCTATGTCTCTTATTCCGCTGAAGCTCCAAAATGCTTTCTGTTAGCTCCTTCTACTTCCAGCATGCCGAAACAGAGAACCACCGGGTCTCTACAGAATCTTCCATGCACTCGCTCTGTATCTCAAGCCAGAAGCTTTACCCTTTTATTTTCAAGCTGTGAAATAGACAGACCGCCACCTAATTCGTAGAAGTATTCTGAGAATCCAATGTGGTGACATAAATAAAAAGGCAGAGGACAGCACACATTCAGCAACGATTACATGCTGTCCTTTCCACCCCCATCCTTGCCTCGCTGCTCATGCTGCTTCCCTGCCAGGGAATGAGAGCCTTCCCTTGCGTCTTCTTACACCTGCCAAGCCAACCTTCCAAGTCCAAGTTTAAACCCTGGAGATACTTAAGTACTCGAGGGCTCGTCTCTAGGCCCTCTGAACAGCTCACTCACTTAAGACTTTTACAGCAGATTCAGGTTCCTTCCTAGCCCATGACTGTGGGGAGAAGACAAGCCTCTGCTTCTTCTGTCCCTTACAGAGAGAAGGAGGCAAGCCCGAACAGAGAGCAGTAAGAAACTGATGGGCACAGTTAATGCTCTAAAGGCAGTGGTTTTCACTTCTCATGATCTGATCTTCCTTGGAGAAGAAAATATTTTCTGGCATTCACTCGAGTACCAGATCAATGTTACAACACAGAAGGAAATGGCCCTGGGTCAGACCAATCACAGCCATATGCTGAAGCATTGCAGCTCGGGCCCAGAGGCCAGTGGAATGGCGAAAGAACACTGCTCTGGGAATGGAGAGGTCTGGAGCCCACGCCCCGCCCTGCTTCTACTTGTACAATTGCAGACAGGTCTCTACGATGTGTTTCCCTACGATTACCACATATAAGCTAGCCGGAACTTCAATGGTCTTTTCAGCTTTATGATGCTCTGAATTTTCGAAATAAAAACCAGAGACAAAGGAAGCAATCTGCATTATGAAAATCAGAAAGTAACTTCCATCGCAAGTCCTAGTCATGCAAACCACAGGAGAGTATTGGACCGGACTGTTAGCCGTAGGTATCAAGGGAGAGTATTAGAATATGGCATTTGACAAGTGGGACTTAATTTTAAAGAATGTCTTTTTGACCTGCTTTGTAGGGTAGGGCTCATTTCCTACTTGGAGATGGGTCCTAC